TCCCCTTAAGAGCCGAATAAAGGTAGTATATATATATATATATATATATATATATAATATATATATAAATAAATGAATATATTACCATTCTAAATAATAATCAACACCAATCAAATTTATAACCAGAGACCAGGAACATTCAGCCAGCTACAGTGGATTCAGAATTTTAAAAAGGGAGGTGCTCAATAGGAGCTCAGGTACATTGAATTTTACTCAAGGTACAAAACTAGGGATGGAGCATAATGATATCTATGACTACACAGCACATTGATTTAACATTTAAAGCAACCTATTTTGCTGATTTTCCATTCATTTTAAAATATGTGGATATCTGGCTTTCCATGTTTAATCGGACCTAAACCAAAGTAGTAGATCTCTCACCACAATGGAAGCCATGCTTTTTTTTTTTTTTTTTTTTTTTGGCTTTCCTTTCACAGAGTTAAATGCAATGCCACAGTTTTGGCTGTCCCACTCTCACACAGACAATGAATACTGGCTTTCAGCCTTTTCACCCTTTAGTCTCAGTTATTGTTGAGTTTTCTACGAAATAGCAGGAAGTCTCAGTTTTCAATCATATAGTATTTCCTTGTGAAGTAACTCGATCCACTAATGATTACAGAGCCAAACCAAGGCAATATATATACACAGCCCAGGTGTGAATGCAAATAGTGGAATACAAGCTATGCGGCTCAATTCCAGTAAATACAGAGAATATTTTGTCATTCTTAACGCGTCCTACAAAATTCTTACGAGACAGCACTAGTCCGTCCGTATCATCAAAACGAGACATTCATAACAAAAACAACAATATTTTTCAGAACTATGAACTGCAAACATTTAATATATTATTGCTTTCAAAATATATTCCATTAATTTACTATGTTTTTTCACATTTTAACAAAAAAAGAGGGGTGCACAATTGTTCCTGTAGTGTGCAATCTTTTATTAAAAACATCTAAAGTACCCAACACTGAAACTCTCCGTCTGTGGCAGACAATAGTAGAATATAGCATAGGCAACTGGAGTGAAAAATATTTAGCTTTTTTCTTGGTGAAAATATGTTTCACTCCCGTAGACTAAGATGCTCAAGACACTGCTTCTATAAATTATTACCTTTGTTGCTAAGGTCAGCCTTCCATGCTTGAGCACTTAGCACACCAAATTTGTAGAAGCTTTGTCAATTCTCACATTCAGTTCTTTGTTTCAGGATAGATTATTTTTTATCATTGAGACTACTGAACTTATAGCTTCCAAAGGCGCATTTTGCAGAAGAATTCTTGCCTCCTCAATTGTTCCTGCCAGTGTGCACTCTGTTATTAAAAACTTCTAAAAATATACCTTTTCCTAAAGAGTGGATTTTACCCTTGCCCCCGAAGGGGGAGGCGAGGGTTAACAAGATTTAAACCTAATAAATACAGTCGAATAGATATACACATATTATACATGCATCTACATATGTATATAGTAATATTACACCCCTATAATACAACAACAACCAGGGCAAGAGTTTGTAATCTCAGATTATCTTTAATTATATATTAATTGTATATTATCTATACTTCTGTATATCGTAATTCTAAAATCTTTCCAGTATTATGGCTTTAGTTGCAGCGCCCCTGAGTTAACCTCTTGGCCATTCCATTCACCATGCACAGTTAAATTAGCACAAGATTAAATATCTTCTACACCATCTCAAATCGAAAGATCCCTATTAAATGTATCAGCCAACCTATTTTAACAATTGTTCTTTGGATTTTAAGTAATTAAAAATTTAGTTTAGTAATTAAAAAACAAAAGTTAAATATGTGCCCAATATTGTTTCATCATGCAATGTTAATGACAAAATATTCTCTTTTTTAAAATATTGAGCTTTCTATTAAATGATAAAATAATTTCATATGGTTTGAAATATTGTAGTATGTGTGTAATATGTATGTGAAATGTCTTAAAGAGGTAAACAAATATTTGTTTATTTACAAATAATAACAATCACATTAGATCTTTCTGTTAGATGGATGTAGCATGAATAGAATAGTATCTTTTGATATGGATTAGAATCCTATATGGAATACACAAAAAACAAAGAAAAAGAAATTTCTATTGTTAAGGGTAAAAATTAACAAGATTGGTTTATGAAGTAACACATGCAGGAGGCCTGTACTGATATTCACTCATGGATTAAGGGGAGAAAATTCTGGTTTATTGCTCAAAAGGTGTCAAAATGTAAAGTTGAATTAATTTTTCTTATTTTTGGAGTGCTTCAGATGTTGTGGTACAAATGAACAAAAAAATTATGTGTCATGGTTTGACCATTTGGCACACTCAGAAAGTGTCCCCATCCCCTTAATAGGGGTTGACTGTAGCATTAAAAGATATATGGCCCTCGTTTCACCGAAAAGTGTCTCCTTAATAGGGGTGTCCCCTGAAGAGGGGTTCTACTGAATATGTATACAATATAATATATCTAATACCGAAATAATCATTTTTCAGATTTTATTTTCATTTTTCATAATTTCAATATAGATTCAACTTGAGCTCTATATTATATGAGAGATACAGTAGGTTAAAAGACAATATATCTCTTTTCCTTTAATGTGGTGTCTGGGCAATCACTGCGGTCGACGGTCGAAGTGATTCTATAAGGAATGCAATACCAATATAAACAAAGGTATAAACTGATTTGTGAGAACATTATGAATCAGTTTAAATAAATTATTCCAGAGGCGGAAGCAGCAAGTATATATGTGACCTATCACCCAATGAATGTGTAACCTTGGCTCTACAATTAAAGAGACAATAACACATCTGCTGGTTCAGAAATCCCACCTGTCACTGTAAATTTTATACTTCCAATCAGACTCATGCACTCACAAAAGAATATAAGCATCCATAGCTTTGTTCATGCTACATCTCTTCCGACTGGGAGCAGTAGTAGAGCTGGGATTTCCCCGACAGTAGGGCAATAACACAACAGTCAGGGCAAGAGTTGTCGCTGGATGGCCGGCAATGGCACTCTCAGACTGTGACAGACATTTGTTGGCTTTGTGTGGGGCTGGCGCCGCCACTGCCTCAGAAAGGTGTTGTTTCAAATAATATTTTGTTTCCCCCAACAAATCTCTCCGAACTTCCCAGAGAGGGGAGAAAATACCCCTTGACGGGGGTGGGGTGGTGGGGCTGTAGCATTAGCATTATTAAAAGTAAATGACAATATGACATACAACTGACCTTGAGTTGACATAACCTCCGCTAGGTCATTTATCACCAATACCTGTAGAAAATTAAAATAACTCTTCTGGAGACTCTGCTTGTCCCTGCGAGCTTGCATGTCCATTTGGTCAGCAGGTTGGGCTAGCACGTTGAATATGGTGGTCAATATTGGCATCAATACCTCAAGTAAAAAAGGTGCAATAATCCTCTGAAATAGAACAGATGAAAGTATATTACACTATACCATGTTTTTAGTTGAGAAAAATCCTTTGCTATCACTGGATATGAGCCTACAACTCTGGGATTTCCCTTTTTTGCTGGAGTGGTAATTCACACATTTGTGTTAAGAAAAGTTTACGAATAAGAAGAAAAAATCATTGCATTAATCACTACTGATTGTTTATGGTTCGATGAGATTTCTCAAATGACACAATATTGAGGTAGTCACAAAACACAACATTGGCTTGGTTTAATAAACATAAAATATGCAGAAATGAACTAAAAAGTGACAGTAGATGTAATGTACTGTAATGTAGTTTTTTGATTTATATAGCACTTTATAACAGAGTCTCAAAGTGCTGTGGACTAGCTTGTAGAGTAACTTTATTCTCTCCTAAGGGTCTCTTCATGTCTCTGAGCTACCCTATAAACTGGTACCAACTACTCTTGTCTGTCCACAACAGGGGTCATTATGGACCTGCTACACCAGGGTATGTACTGGGTTCTTTTAAGTGCACCCGTGCCAAATTGTGTACACTGGGCCTACCATTTAGTCCTTATCCAAGAAGACTTGCTCCACCATCAGAACTATAGGCGAGCATACTGTGTCTGTAATGTTGTGGTGCCCCTGCACTAACCACTCAGTCATCCAACTCGCTGCAGAGTTGGAGAATTGCATGAATGTTTGCTTTATTCAATTGCTGATTGTTTTAAAAGAGGGGAGCAGCCAGTGCCGCAATCACCAGGAATACTAATGGGGGAGTGGGGGTAATTGAATGTAATATGGTATGGGACTTTTAGAAAATCCTTTGATTTTGCATTTAAGCTGTGAATAATTACTTATTTTTGTATTAGGGAAATTTCTAGTGGCAAGGATAGGCAAATGTGGAGTGCAGTTATTTATTTATTTATTTTTTTTTTCAAAATTAGAAAAGAAAACATAAGAAAAGAAAATTAAATTCAGTAATTTTTGACTGTCTAGGTGTGCCATCATTATAAATTTTCTTGTCTCAGCCCAAACAATGGTGGGGCTGAGGTGGTATTTTCCCCTATCTGTGAAAGTTGATCCCTGGCCCCTTTAATTTCGAATTCAACGCTATAAAAGAAAATGGAAATACACAATTTATGTTGGTCCGCCACTGAACAAATTGGAACAGGCCCCCAGCTTAAAAAGGTTGAATACCTGGGGCTATGTAATTCAATACAGGAATGATATTTCATTAAGCCAGAATACTCTACAAAGAGCGCGTAAACACATACTTAAAAAAAAAATTGGAAGAGAGGGATGCTCCCTCGAAAACCAACCCTCCGCTCGGTGTGTTGCACTTCAATGGGCACTATCGTGGTCAACCCTCCTCAATAAATCCTAGATTCGCCACTGCTGTCATTATATATGTAAAGCTGAAATCATCATCATTATCATCTTCACTTAATGCCTTTTCCCTCCATGCAAAGGTTTGACTGTTTGAAGGCTGTACATTTAAGGTAGGCATATTCTGCAACACCAGATGATGCAAACAGCAGCAACTTCTGAATTATGGTTTCATTTGACTTAATCATAACTTAAGATACTTCTTTAATTAAATGAATCTTGTCTGTATATTTTTTCAATGTACAATCAATAGTTATCACACATGACTATTTCATCATATCTCCATATACAACTAAAGCTAACAATTTTCACAGGGCCCAGTTATGCTCTAGGAACTAATACCAGGTTCACTTGTACAAAAATCTAGCAAAATGTTACATTTACATGCATGTGTAAATACATCATGTACAGACCTGCCAACACTTGGGTCATGAAAATCTGGAGATTTTTTTAAGAATCTTAAAAAAATATGGAGGTTTACCAAAAAATCTGGAGATTTCCAGAATTAACCAAAAGATGATGCAAGATACCAAAAAAGTCACGTCACTACAAGTCATTGGCCATTAATGGTGACATTCGAATTGAAAATGGCTGGTGTTTAATGGTATTGGTGTTTATAATACATTGGATAATAACGATCAAATCAATCAAATTATGCATAAATTGGAGTATTTTTGGGGTCTTGGCAGGTCTGCATGTATTTCTCATGAGACTTTTACATGGATTTTCCATTGATGAATCTTGGAAGGAATATCAGGGGCAATTTTTGCTGAATGTGTGAATTGGGTATATCTCTCATAATGAGACTGTGTGTTGCCTGCCTAAATTTTTCAAAATAATAAAATGTAGTTTTTAAGGTGCCATTCATAATTTTTCTTAGCTCAGCCCTAAATCATGGTAGGGCTGACATGGGTGGAGCCTTACTCTGTCTATTTTGAATGTATGGATCCGCCACTGTGGGGTCCAGTCCGACAGAGGCTCAAAGCACAAGGTTGCATTTGGGGAAACCATAGTGAAGCTCAAAGCAGAAAATCCTTTTGCTACATAGATTTAAATAGGGTACAAAATGGTAGAAATTGTGCTGTTAGACAATAACAATGGAGAATCAATTCAAGTGGGTTCTGACATGCTTGACCTTTCACAAAACCAGTTGATCGTATTACACTACAGTATACAGTATAATAGAGAACAAAATCAGATTCACAACTTACAGGCAGGGTTCCCAAATACATTGCTGACCTTTTATTGTGTAATGACAAACCAAATTGTAATCATAAATCCTAAAATAACCTGGTATTCAAAATATTCCAGTCTCAACCCAAAATAAGATTGCCAAAACAACCCAAAATAAGATCGCCAATATATTTTGGTAAGGGTTGCCCCTGAATGGTAAGGGTTGCCACTGAACCTTTTGCAGTTTTTGAATGTACAGATTTAGTCGTGAAAGAATTTTCTTAAAAGTACCTATGAAAAAAAAAAAAATGACAGTTATTTACTAGCACTGAGGACTTGTTGGTCTATTATTTTTACACTTTATGTGTTGCACCAGAGTGTCTGAAGTGGTCTGGCTGGTCCGGTTTGGGCCAGACCAATAATTTACAACTGTAATCTGCAAGCCAGATTGTACTTTCTCTGATGCAACCTCTTCTTTTTTTACAAAATTAAATGACTCGTGTATACAAATACCCTTTGCTTTTAATATTGTATTGCATAAATCTTGTAGGCCTACTTGTGTATTTAACAAAAGCATCTCATAATATTGTTAATATTTAATCACAAGCCATAATAATCTGTCACACTAACAATGATCTGTTCTGTTTACATTCCATTTATCCAGATTGCATAAATCCTTAATTGAAGCCTGGGCTTCTGTTTTTTGGCGAACTTTGGATGGGCTTCTATTCGAGGCTACTTTGGCAAAGTACAAAGGGGGCTTCATTTCAAAATGAATGCTGTAATTGTTGGGAATTAGTACTATAACACAATAAAAAAATTAATCATAATCTGTATCAATGAGTGTATTAATTGGCATTAAATCACTAAAACTACTGTATAAACCAAGCCAGTTTTTATTTTATTTTTTTTCTGTATTTATGTACAGTGTATGTACTGTACTATATCGAAAAGAAGCCTATGCTGTCTTGAAAAGAAGTTCTGTTTTTGTGTGATTTGTCAAAACTAAGAGCTTGTCTAGAAATAGCTTCTCTGTGCATATAATACTGGCAAGAATACGATGCCCTGTAAGGACATAATTTATCTAAAAAAGGTTTTACATCCGGACCCCTTCCCCCACTCCACTACTGGCCAACGTGAGGTGGGAGGGGGATGGTGGGGATAGTCGCATCAGGCCAGATCAATAAAAATTGCTTCTGACGCACCTGTTGCAGCAAATATTTCACTACCGTCAGTGAAAACAGACAATGTTAATGTGTTGTACCAATCACATTTTTTCTCCAAACTGTATTTAAATATTACAACAGATGAATAACTGATGAATAATAATGTATGATCAATCAGTACCAGCTTGTGATTAGTGATAAATGGCCACTGTTAGTCACTGTTAAGCCTGAGGAAATGAAGTGCTTAAAAAAAAATAAAAGTAGTCACATGAAAAAACCTCAGTGCTATTATTTAAGGCAATGGCTATGTTTATGACAAGTCGTAAACATAGTCACAGTACAGGCAGCTACTATAATACCTTACACCCCCTCTGCTGATAGCCATTAAAGCAAGTCCTTACTTATCAGCCAGAGAATGGTACAAAGAAATAGAAATGTATTCAAGCAGTAGTAGTAGTAGTAGTAGTAGTACAAGGCTTAGGGGAGTAGGCATTTTCTGGGGTGGATCCAGTGCTCCCCCTCCCCACTTTTGCCACTGAATTTTAAAATTTTCAATGCAGATCAATGTAATGTGCTACTAACTTACCTATTCTGAGATTATTGTACCTCTCTCCCCATCCCCTCTCCTTTGAAAAATTCTGAATCTGCTCCTGATTTTTACACAGTTTTGAAAAAATGCAATTGTTTCCTTATTGGCCATTTTTTAGGGCATAGAGACCTATGTATTATGTACAAATCTTATTATTATTATTATTATTATTATGCTTAAGCTGGCTTAAGTATAATGTTATGCCTGTGTAGCTTTTTAGATGATCATGCCCAAATGTTATTTTAATTTTCCATTTATAGGAAGTAATATGCCTATATTTTTTGAGTAACCTGATGTTTTTAGTAACCTGATGTTACTACTGTACTTTCATCCCTCAATATCTCAAAGCATAGTGTTATATGAATGTTAGATCTAGTAACTGCAACATGAAACAAATTATAATGGCAACAAGTATATAGTAAACAATAGAAATGTTGTATTTATTTTTTTTAAATGTAGCATTGAAGGTCTACACTATTGTTTTCTGCAGTTTCACTTCCGCAAAAATTTTGTTAAAGATTTATGATTTTTTTTTTTTCGTGTCTTTAATTAAAAATTTAGGATTTCATGTAGAGTAATGTTATGACAGGCAGCCCATAGTAGAGTCATTTTCATGAGATCTGTGACTAATTTTAGGATACCTTTTTTCTCGATGGATTTGGCAAGATGGACCAATTTAGATAAAATATAGCTCCTATATACCTCCCAGATATGGGGGGGAAAGTCCCGTTTGGAGACGTTTTTCAAAATGGCCGCCTGTTGATTTGGATGCTTGTATCTCGATAACCATTGGTCAGAGAGACTTGATTTTGGTCTCAAATTGTTCAAAATATGCATGTTCCTATTTGTTGTAATACAACTTTTTATCAAAAAATGGCGGGAAATGCGATTTTTGAAAGTTTGACCTTTGACCTTGTAATGTCATATTTGGTAACTACTGGTCACAGAGACTCACAATTGATTGCAAAGTGTTCAGGAGATTCATGTTTATAGTCGTCTTAATGAAAAAAATATTTAAATAGTGACCGGAAATGGTACATTCTGACCTTTGACCCATTGTGGGGTCATTCCATGTCAAATCAACCAGATTCAAAAATAATTCCTGTATGTCGGACTGTCTCAGATTTTCATGAAACTCTATAAAAATATCTACTATATGCTAAACCAACAAAAAAAAAAAAATAGCCTTATAGGATATATAGTTTCCGAAATATTGACTTGGTTCTTCAAGATATGCAAACGCAATTTAATTCAACTTTGGAAGCTATAACTCGAGATCGGTAATAGCTATCAGGGTCAAACTTGGTATTTTACCTTATTTTTCGCCATATTTCACAAATATGGCCTTAGATTAACAGTTATCCCTTCCCTTTTGAAGTTATCTGCACTCAAAGTAGCCGCTTTGTTTAACGATGCAAATGTTTTGTGATTTTCGAGGTCACCCTGCATCCATTTGAGTGGGTATATACCCCTCATATTATAGATATGTTATCTAAGTGTAGTTGTCTCTAGCCACATGCAAGCGCAGGCTGATCAAATCAATTAAAATTGAATGGCATATATTCAAACTTGGGACCAGATCTATAAAAGTGAAAAACGCCTATGTTTCTCGATCAACAACGGATCGTCATGGCAATTTTGAGTGCAGATAATTTCAAAAGAGAAGGGATAACTGTTAATCTAAGGCCATTTGTGAAATATGGCGAAAAATAAGGTAAAATACCAGGTTTGACCCTGATTGTTATTACCAATCTCGAGTTATAAGCTTCCAAAGTTGAAGTAAATTGCGTTTGCACATCTTGAAGAACCACGCCCCATATTTTTGAGAAGTCAATATCTCGAAAACTACATATCATATGAGGCTATTTATTTTTTGGTTGGCTTTTCATACAGTGGATCATTTTTATGGAGCTTCATCAAAATCTGAGACGGTCATACAGGAATTTCTTTTAAATCTGGTTGATTTGACATGTACTGTAATGACCCTACAATAGGTCAAAGGTCAGAATGTATCGTTTCCGGTCACTATTTGAATATTTTTTTCATAAGGACGAATATAAACATGAATCTCCTGAACAATTTGCAATCAATTGTGAGTCTCTATGACCAGTTGTTACTGAGATATGACATTACAAGGTCAAAGGTCAAACTTTCAAAAACCGCATTTCCCGCAAAAACCGCATATCTAAATTGGTCCATCTTGCCAAATCCATCGAGAAAAAAGGTATCCTAAAATTAGTCACGGATCTCATGAAAATGACTCTACCACCAGTGTAAAACAGTGCACACATCTGGTTTACCCTCCAATAACAACAATTATTAGAAAATAACAATAAGCACTTAGTAGAGCTCCGCATAGTACACTATAGGAAAATTATTATACGATGGTTAGATTTAATGCTTGAACAAATTTTTGAATGCATTAAATTGAACCTAAGTATAATTTTCCATATAACACAATGCATGCTCTACTAATTGCTTTATAAGTCAATTGCCGTCTTTTAGTTTTAGTTTTTTATAACCAACTGTTGTAGCACTCATCGGTTGCTATAGTGATATGATCAGTATACATGTTTGTATTTACATTTAGCTGTGCGTATGCTGATTTATGTTCTTGCAGTACACGTTTAATTAACTACACATCAGCAGTACAGTATGGATAGGATGAATAACTATTGTGTTAGAAAGAACTTGTTTGTAATGCTATTTTGATAGACTTTCGTCAAAGAAATAAACATTTCAGCATTCGAGAGAGAATACATTCACTGACATCCTTTTTGGTCGGTACATGCAGACTGGTAAAAACGTGTGATGACTTCATAACTAGGCTAGGCTATGACCTAGTAGTAGTAGGAGGCCCGAGCGGCCTTTTGCCTGGCCATAGGCCTACATCTAAACATGTTCCTTGAGTCTTTAAAACAGGTCTAGAATATTCCTATTAAACATTCAGTTTGTTGTGTTTATGAGGGTCCATTGATTCAATGCATTCCTTAATTGTTCATACTTAATATTGAATTTAAAGTAACTTTCTTTGGGTTTTAATTAGCTTGTTTTACGAAAGTAATTTTCAATTACAATTCAATTTTTATCGCGGTTCGCGATGTCTTCGTGGTGACGAAAATATGAGGAATTTTTTTTGGACACAAAAAAATCAAGCAGAGCATCCACTAATTGAAAAATTAGTGGATGGTGGGGAATAGGCAAATAACACTGGTAGTTGCAGTGATGACGTCACAATTGACTGTAGAACATACTGCTGTTACGTCTTCTAGTTTTCCCCCACCATTGTATTTAGGTACACGCTACAGTACACACAATAAGCCTACAAATTTTGGATAGCAGTTGGAGTTCTGCGGGAGTGATTCAGCCCACATCATTATATGTCTGAGTTAACACATGAATGGTTTTATGTTCACTCTCAGGACTTTTTTCCCATAATTACAAATGTTACAATATTTTCATGTATTAAGAAGTTATTAAAATTTCACTATGAAAGAAAATATTACTTTACACTGTACTAACTTAAATACTGTACTCGGTAAAATGGGTTATACTGAGCCGATTTTCACCATTCAAAAGTCGATATGAGATGCTAGATAATGTTTAATAATTTTTTTGGAAAGGAAATAATGATTTCAATAGAAGTTCCTATGCACCAGCGGAATGTACTACAATTGTTTATCAGTGAGATCAATCTGCTCAATAAACAATTTTAATTACTTGTGCAAATATAAAGATGTGGGTAACCCACACAGAAGAATGCAGTACACTATGTAAAAGAGTAGGGGATTGTCTCCCGGTGTACTGCCCAATCACCACCAGAAGGTTATTTTTCTTGTAGGTTATTTTTGGCCCAGCAACAACCAATCCAATCAATCACCCAGGCTGCCCACTTGTAAAGACATGATGTAACAAGTTATTTTTAGTAGCGAGAGTCTCTGTGGAACATGTGCAAGTCTTTACGCTGTGAATTAATGATCCAATCCGCCCACTGGACGGGTCTCTTTGCGGAAGGACCGTGGTGTCTATTTTTAGCCGCAGTTAGCGAGCAGATTATTTTAGCAACAGTAAACAGCAAGAATTTACAAGTATGGGCTGTGTATTTAATTTTACGGTGACCAATGTCTTGTCTCATCAATTGGAAGAGTTGCAAGTATGTCAAATTCGGAGCCAAATCTTTATATTTTGTGAGCATTTGTTACTACGGTAATTGGTAAAGAAACATTTTCACAAACACAGGTAGTATTAAGGAAGGACCAGTTACAGTTCAAGCATAATTTTCAGACAAAATTATAGAAATCAGTAAACTTATTTATTTTTTACTATAATTCTTAATCTCAAAAATCTTAGTTCTGTTGATCAGTGAAAAGTAAATGAGGATGACAATGTGCTGATTTGAAAATATGGAGGTACTGTTCCCTGGAATGGACCATTCCATTATTTCACAGGTGAAACAAACTTGATAATAAATTATTTAATTACTCACTTTGAATTTACTAATGAGTTGATTTACAAGGGGTATAAATTCTTGAATATCTCGTGCTTCACATTGCTTTAAGAGATGTTCAACTGCAATAGGTATGTATGGTAGTACAGTCTCACCAAGGCAAACAATCATTCTATGTAAATACTGACGAACTGCTGCATGTAGAATTTGATGTTGATGAGGTGTGTTGAGTGCTTGAAGGAAGATTTCCAAGGCTTCTGTGTAACAGGCCTCACATCCATGCTGCTTCATTGTAGCCTGAGTATGAAAAGCTTTACTGCTTCGGCTATAAGGTAGAAGTAATACTTCTTGTTAACAACACCAAAATTTCAAATAAAACAAAACAATTGTGATAATTTAACAAGTTAATCTGATCTTAAAGATCATTCTTATATTTATGTTATCTATACAATTATTTATTACTGCAATATCATTTCTTATTGTTACTCCCAGCTCAGATTTTTTATAGCTTTAATAGATGCAATAAAGGTGAATAAATTCCACACCTGTTAACTATGAAGTGCAAACTAATATTTTGGTCCAAGGGTGCTTTTTGGAATGTTCCCTTGTGTATTATTATGGGGTCCTATGGCCCCTAGAAGGAAGCCCTTTAATTTCTTTATGATTTTACTTGGTTTAGTGATTATTTTTTGCTGCTGTGGGGGTGAACACCACTTTTGAGAACCTCCAGACATTGGGCAGTGACAATACATCAAATCTTCATATGGCACACTCTGTAACTACAATATAAATATTATTATTGTACCTTGCTAACGAAATGGCATAGCTGATAGTTTCAGCATAACTCTCTTGTGTCTCCACATCCTCCTCTTGGCATAATTTCTCAAATGTTAATGTAAACTTCTCAATTGTTGGTGCCAGCAAGCGTTTCATAAGTAGCAACTTATCCTTTTTATAATTAAGATACCGAGAAATAACTGGTATTAATATTTTAAGACAAAAAGAAATCAAATAAAAAAAAAAAATAATTTCTTTTGAATCATATAATTTGATATAAATTAATGTTAAGTATAATTCTGAAAAATATTGTTAAGTAAAGTTAAGTACAATGAAATAAAGACCAACCATGAGCTATGCAAGTTTGTAATACCACTTAAATTTAACTAAAGCTGATGTAAATATTGTATGCATTTGAATGTTGTTCCACAATGGAATAAAACATTAATTAGCATGTGGTTTAGATGAGAGAGGTGAAAGTGCATTGCCGTCTACTGAAAAGATAAAGGAGCTGGAAATTGTTAAATGGGTCTACCATGAAAAGCAAACAAGTTCTTTCGATGCGGCATTAGCTGCCACTTAAGCAAACTACAGTACCATAAAGAAGGCAAGACTTTTTTTATACCTTATTTTATGAACATATTTTCAAAGATCGTCAGAGAAGGGCAGAAAAAAGAAATTAAAATTAAAATTTGTTTTATTATATAGCAAATACTTGTGACAAAAGTATCCAGATGGAGGAGAAAATAGAAATTAAATTTTTATTTGGTAAACAGTGTAGTATTAATGAGATGGTTAAAGTCTTTAAATTTTACATTTGACAGTGGCAAGCATAATTAAAATAAAGAAAAACTTTTATTTTTTCCACTAAATGTCCGAAATTTAAGTTTGATTTTTATTTGAAATCAGCATTATCGGCGGATTGTGGGTTCACTAAAGAAATTATAAAAAATGTCTTGCCTAAGTTAAGTAAACGTACCTCCGGTTTCATATTACTCATAATAATAACGATTCCAGCCGCTTCATATATAAATAATTTATCATCATTTGTCAGAATCATCTGGTTACCATTCGCTTCTGTACTTTCAATTTGTAACAAGTCCTGTAAATGCTCCAATATCACCTCCGTATATGGTTTTAGGTTCATGCGTAGTGTCTTTACAAAGCGTAGAAAAAGGTAAGAGCAACGACTGCGCACAGTCGGATGTTTATGTCTCAAGCCGCGATCATCAAGGAAAGCCATGAGGACCTTTGGAATGTGTTCTTGCTGAAGCAGAAAGAATTTTTCATATCGTGCTACTGTCTCCATGAACTGCCAATAAAGGATATTACAACAAAATTATAATATTTATACAAATAATTTAAAGTAACTCTGGTAAAATATGGAAAACCCAAAAATTCAGTTAAAACAGTGAGGGGTGTCTAAATATCTGTGAGTCTTCTGCAGTCATGTAATCTCTCGGAAAGAAACCAACCTCTGATAAATTCATGATATTTGTATGATTTTACTACTGCATAAAAATATTGTCTTCCTTAAAATCCTGGCAACATAAATCAACATACACAGCATAATATGATTACATTTTTGGCTTAAAACTAATTAAACCAACAAATCTCGTTCTAATCTTTAATCAAAAACTACATTTATATCGAAATACTTTACATTAATCAATAAACAATTTTGATATTATCATTGCAATTTAGAATTTACTTAAAAATTCAATTAAGTTGCTCATGTCCCTGGAAGCATATTTAGGGGTTTTTATTTTGCCATTTTTTGCTTGCTCCAGGACAAGATGGAACTTTCCGCTAATCCTCGCCTCTTGCATATTGTTATTAAGGTACCAAGGAACATTAAAACATAATACAGTATTTAAACAGGTGAATTTATGGGACAACACATGTGATAGAAATGAGCATATTTCTGGCTGATCTGATTGGTCAGTTGTTAAGTTTGGCTGACACGCTGGAAAGCTCCATTGTCGGCCTATATAGATGCAGTATACAGGTAAGGTTTTTATCAAGATAATTGTTATGGATAGAGGCACAAAACATATTTTTCTCATGCCTGTTTGATAAAAATCTTATAAAAATATCAAGTATTGAATTCAAACAGGATGGAGTGTGTTTATACAAGAATATAATCAGTAGACTGCTCTTTTAACTTATTTAAATATTTGAATATTCCTATTACTGAATATTTTTATTGGGGCCATTTTTACCTACTTGTCATTTGGAGCCAATTTCACCGGGGAAATTTTTACCGGGATCATTTCATATTGTATTTCTGTTTTCAAAAACTAATAATATTATAACCATAACATATGTAGTAAAATCTGGAAAAACAAACATGTGTCTTTTCAGATGGTGCTTGAGCGTAACATATTGAGACTCTCAAGGTCTGTAGTTACTACAGAAATGTTGCTTCAGATATGGACACTATACAGAAATTTATCATTATCCCTAGACTCATGAATTTATTATCAGTATAAACTGATAATAAATTCTTGTAAAACCACAGAAAAGTACACCATAAATCTTCATCCTGTCTAGTTTTTTTTTAAATTCTTACCATACACCAAACCATCACTTTTGATGTATAAACAATAGTTATGCTGTACTAGAAATTGCAAATTGCAAGTGAAGTGCTGCGAAGTACAACTGCATATAAATGTTCTTCAAACAAAATTATTTATGCGAGTCAAGTGAAAATAATGAATAATAAAACTATAACAAATAATATGAGACACGACCCATTGTCTATATCAGAACACTTCTCATTGGGTAACAAAGTCGTAATTTTTCATTTTTGTCAAAAAGTGTCTAAGTGGTAAATTATGGTTTAGGTTTTTTTTAATAAGGCTTAAAAAATGTCTATGTATGTGGAAAATGTAGTTGATTACCAAAGGTTACAATTTTTATTTTGAAGACTGCATGGTCTAGGAAATGTACATTTTTTTATGGGGCAAGTTTCCAAGGGCGGGTTTTCTAGGGGCGAGTTGACTGCCAAAGAGTGTTGCCAAAGTGCGAGCCAGCGTGTTATTTGATCACAAGTGCAAGACCGTAAGTGTGAGCCAGCGAGCCATGACGTCACGACAATAGATACGAGACGTTACTCGAGTTGTGCGAGGTATCGGCTGAGATTTGTGGAGTACAATTAAAAAAACAAATATAGGTCTAATAATGAATTATTGTGATGTTAAATAGACAATGTTAGCTATCAAAGAGTGACGTTGTTTTTCATTGGGAACTTCGTCCCTTCAAGGCTAGGCCTATACCATCCTAGCTAGTCTAACGTTGGTACGTGTTGGTTAGTCTACAAACGTCGCCTAAAGTAATTGATTTTACCCGGCAGAAAGAAAGAAGGAAACTCTGCTTTTCAGTCGTCTTAGGCCCCTTTTTTTTTGACAAACAATGACCTTTCAGAGGTCAAATTGCTGTCAAGAATATAAATTGGCTGCTTCGCAGCAAAAAATGAAGTAATAACACACATGGAACAGAAGGTAACTGTTGACAAATGACAGAAATGACAGAGACTGATATGACACCTTATCTTTGGAAAATTCCCATTAGTATTTCAACAGACAAGCCATTCTTTTATTACAATTTACATTCTGTAATTCAATCTTGACATAAATCAAAATTGAGAAACAGGAAAACGCATTCATTAGATTAAATTCCTAATTAAACCTGAAGTGAATGGAAGAAGAGGTTCATTGTATCATTTATAGTACAGTTCTGTATTGGTTAAAATGAATGCTTTGTATATTGAATACTACAGATCCTCCAGAATTACCAAATTTATAATCTACACTATTATATACAGTATTATATCTGATAACAACCTTTAGTAGCATAATATTTTAGTTACTACTCAGACACTCTATACTAACTCCTTTTAATAATTACAGTACTGTACAGTATTTACATTATAAAATAACAGAAATATAAACTGACAATGGTACAATTGTCGGAAAAATGTACCTTAGAACAGGGGTTGGCATTAAAATTGTTTGGAGGGCCAAAGTGAATTTTTTATTTTACTCAGAGGACTGCATTCAAACTTTGATGTTTCAGTGCCCTTCCAAAAACCTTGATACACTGATTTATGGCCACTTTATGCTCAGTTTTATTATTACTTTTTACAGATGATCGGTGCTGGGCTGCAAAAAACAAGGTACTTTCTACCCCAAGATGGTTGGCGGGCCGCACACATAGGGTTTGTAATTAATTTTGGAGGGCCGCAAAAAAAATAATCACTAACAGCCGCATGTGGCCCGCAGGCACTTTGCCCACTTGTGACTAGAAGAACATACAATTAAAATATAATTTAAGGGGTGAGTAGAGCTATGGTAAGAGGGTAACCAAGGCTCCTAAAGTTTTAAAAGTGAATAAAACAAACAGGATAAAAACATTGAAAATTAAGTACAACTTGTACAACTGGGCCCTCTCTATTTTGAATTCCTGGACCCGCAATTTCAAATAATTGTACTGGAGCAAACAAGGAAATCTTTAATCAAAAAACATATGTGATACCATTACAAGTGCCTGTAATTTTGCAATAAAATTAGGCTGATAGAGGAAGTTTTGAGTAGGGTTAAGCCTGGTGTTGAGTGTTTATTGAGATTTCTCAATAGACTGCCTTATCTAAATTTAAAATTTAATATGATGCTACATGAATGGGAAAAACCCAAATTTAGTAGAATGTTACTAGTCATTAACAAACAGAAGAAACTCATTTCTGGCCATTTTTTAAGCAAAATTTTCTATGGGTGAGCCTGGATCCTTTTTTTTTTTATAAAAAAAGTTTTTCATTCTTTTATTCTGATGTTGTATGCTATACGTCAGCCTGGCATTGTACTTGCTGTATTATTAATCAAGAGAAATCATGAGGAATGTTTAAGTTAACATACAGCAGGACCTATGGATTAAAAATAAATCAAGCATCTAACCACTATAACCAATCCCTTATTAACTAAACAGGACATGATGAAATGTCTTTACCACAAACATTAAAATCAGTTATCTTTGTAGGTCTATGTGGTTACACTGAATAAAACTGTTTATCATTTAATAGCCCCCTTGGATTGATCTGGGTGCCAGTAAAACTTGGTTTTATTTGTAATGATCACAGTTCATTTAAAACATAGAACAAGGAAGGAGTCCAGCTGTGGGCAAATAGACAATGCTACCTCACCATCTCACATTAGGCTCCAAAGTTCCTTTCAGACAGAGCTGCAATATTGCGGTTAAAGCAGATTGACATTGGTTTCTGTCTGAAAGTGTCAATACGTCAATAAGCCGGCTTATAGGCTACATTGCGCCTTAGTAATATTGTCGCCATATTGCGGTAACAGTTACTGGCTTGCTCTGTCTGAGACTGTCTACTTGATATTGCAGTAATCAAACCAGCGTGTGCATTTATCCAAAAACAAACAAGGTTAAAGTTGAAAACAACTGCGCGGTGGTATTAAAATATTATATATATATATATTACGCCATTCTATAGGGTCTTTCAGGCAAGAGGAAATTTCATATTTTTATTATTGTGCAATAATCTTTAACAATAACCCAAAAGTAAAGTATTTTTGCTATGGCTCTACAACATTAATAGGCCTACATGCATGCTGCATTGATCATACAAAAATGTTTTTCTTTCTTTTTTTAATTTGCAAGAATTTCAATAATGTATAATATGGAAAAATTCAAATAAAATAACATTTTTAATATTCTATGTATGTAGGACTTGTTGATCATTTTCTTAATGCGTGTTTAACAGCCATCGTCACAACAATTACATACGCAAGTAAACATTCCCACGATACATAAGTTCTCAGCCACATGCAGATAGGACTGCGTTTTCTGACGTTATTAGGGAAGTGGTCATATTGTATGTCCATTTGCATAATTTTAAATGTATTTTTCTTGTTTTACGGAGGATACAAAAAAACTAATTCAAATTGCATGGGAAAACCTATAAAAAAAATAGATGCACAGAATCGTAAATACTTGTGTTCCTACTATCAAGGCCTGAATTTTCTGCAAAATATCTGTGGAAATCAGCTCCTATTTTCAAAATGCAGTGATGGATTTTTGGGCATAATATTTTATCCGGGGAATATTTTACAGCCTGACACATCCTCATTTCATTTATTGCAAAATAATAAAACTCCTTACCTCTCAACTGAAGACAAGCACTGTAGGACTATCTCTGAGCATGGGCTAAGGGAACGTATCCCTTCTAGAGAACCTCCGAGCGTGAAATTTTTGAGACTGGAAAATTATTCATTTATAGGCCCTAAGCCATAACTT